AAGGAAGAGGACGGGCGAAGAGGAAAGAGGAGAGGAGGGAACGGCGAGGGAAACAAGAGGGGCGCAGAGGGAAGACGGGGAACGGCGAGGGACAAGCTGGAGAGTACCAGACGTGCAAAGGCAGGGCGCGCTCCCCGGGGCAACCGCCGTTATCTGTACACTCCGAGTGGACCAGCGCCCGAGGCGGCCAGAGGCGGGCATACTGGGAGCCAGAGTGCCCATTGGGACTCGTCCTCCGATGCCGGCTCCAACTGGCGCCCTCGATATGGGCACGGCCAGCACGCCAGACCGCGCAAGGCACGGCTGGAGGCACGAATGCTAGCGTGGCCTTGCTCGGCCAGGTCTTGCAAGTGGATGCAGGGGCGGCCTGGCTCGGCCAAACCTTGCAGCGGGACAATGCCTGCACGGACGCACAACATCGCCCGGATGCGGCGTCGACCGAGGGGGGAGCATCGCAGAGTGAAGGTAAATCTGACTCTGCATTGAGACTCCCTCCTCCCAAGCTGTGCCCTGGCAGGCGATACACTGACCAAACACGCACAGACAATACGTCGTCGAGGCTCCCACTTCAAGTGCTCTCATTGCGCAGATCTCCGTGCCCTCCCTCGCGTTTCCCCTCCACACAGTTCGGCGTCGCTCTTCCTGCTTCCCTTGACGCATGGGCAGGCAAAGCATTGGGACTTCTTCTTCTCCTTCTTCTCCTTCTTCCCCTCCACCGGCAAGACGGCCTGAGCAGCCTGATAATGGAAGCAGGGAGAGGGACAGAGGCAGAGAGAGAGATAGAGGCACAGCGAAGCGAGAGCAGATGAGGAGGAGGGAAGAAGGTCCACGAGAGAAAGTCTGAGAGAGACGCACCGCAGACATGATAGGGAGACAGAGAGACTCGGAGGAGGGCCACTTGTGCCAATGGCGGCCCTCCCGCCTGGCCCAGATCTGCTCCAAATCGATCCCCGGACTCCTCCAGGGGTCCACTCTGACCCGCTTCTGCGATGTGTATCCAGCCGTGGCGACGAGAAACCTCCAGGAGGCCCAACCACCCACCACCACAGAGCCAACCGTCCGGAAGGACGCAACGAGCGCGCTCTTGGCAAATCTTCGGGAACTACTGTGGAGGGCCGCCGCTGTCTTGACTGTCCCTCCGAATAACAGGCAGACAGACATTCAGGCAGGCGAACGGACTGACGAACGGACAGTCGTTTCGGGTCAATGCGCGCGCGTTCAGAGCATACGCTACGGGGGACACATTTCCGCCGAAGTCAGAGGGCAAGCAAACAGACGGGACTAAGCAACTATATATGTAAAAATAAACAGAGAGAGTGTGGTATACTAGGAATGTTAGTCAGCGTAGACCCCAAACAGTGTCAATCGATGGTATACCATGTGTGTGTGCTGTGCTGTCTAGGTGGTGCTACGTATGTTGCACACGATTTGAAGTGCAGTAAACGTGGTGCACTCTATGCTGTGCAATATATGTTATGTCATGTATGTGCTGTAATATATGCTGTTTAATAGATTTTATGCAACCTGTTGTGTGAGCGGTCCACAAGCGCGCCGCAGTCGCGAAACAAATATCGTACAATTGATGTGATGCAGTCGAGTTGGGACAATACATGTGGTGCAGTCTATGTGGTCAAACGTATGCGGTGCAACCGATGTGGTGCAAACTATGCTGTGCCATGTATGTGATGGAGAACCAATATGTTTCTCGACATATGTTGCACAATCGATATGGCACAGTATGTTGTGCAGTAGAGGTTGTCAACTATACGTGGCGCAATCAATGGTGTGCAGTATATATGGTGCAGCCTATGTTGTCAACGATTCAAAAACGCGCCGCAGGCGAATGTTTGTTCCGTGAAGTCTACGTGGTGCAATCCAACGGCGGCGACAGGCGAAGACGAGGCGGCGACGGAGCGGTGACGGGGCGGCGACGGCGGCCACATAGCCGCCAGACCGAAGAATGGGTCCAGACGGCGGGCGGCGACGAGGCGGCGACGGGGCGGCGACGGCGGCCACGTAGCCGCCAGACCGAAGACATGGCCCAGTTCCATCGAACAGGAGCAAGAACCCCCAAGTGCAAGCACTGCTTGAGGTCCAATCTGAATACATCACTTTCGAAGGCCCGCGCGGATTTCTTGGATCGGCGCTGGACCCCGCTCCCTGGCGCGCGGAGCGCGCCAGGAGCGGTATCAGAGGCGCCGCCACGTATCCCAGCGCAGATCCAGGCAGTCCGCGCGGACTTCCGCAAGTTTGTTATGTGTATATATATATAGAGAGATAGAGAGAGAGAGGAAAAAAAAAAAAAAAACAAAAAAAAACTGACGAAAGGCCCAACCATACGTCGTTGTGAATACCGCAATTGTGCGAGCGCAGCCACTGGGGCGTTCGGTGGAGCTCCCTATGGAGCCACGAAGCGTGTGAGGGGTGTGCCGAAACGGGGGGGTGGAACCGCATGCGAGCGCAGCCACTGGGGCGTTCGGTGGAGCTCCCTGTGGGGCCACGAAACGTGTGAGGGGTGTGCCGAAAAGAGGGGTGGAACCGCATGCGAGCGCAGACGCTGGGGCCTTCGGTGGAGCTCTCTATGGGGCCACGAAACGAGTGAGGGGTGTGCCGAAATGGGGGGGTGGAACCGCATGCGAGCGCAGCCACTGGGGCGTTCGGTGGAGCTCTCTATGGGGCCACGAAACGTGTGAGGGGTGTGCGAGAATGGGGGGCGGAACCGCATGCGAGCGCATAAACCAGAAGAATAGCAAAAAGACAAAAAGAAAAAAGACCGAAAAAGAAGGGGGGGAGAACAAAAAGAAGAACGACAACAAAAAAACAAAAGAAAAAACCAAAAGCATAAGAGGGGTGGGGGGGGAAAACAATAACCTACAAATAAACAAAGCAGCCACTGGGGCGGTTCGGTGGAGCCCCCTATGGAGCCAGAAACGTGTGAGGGGTGTGCCGAAATGGGGGGGTGGAACCGCATGCGAGCGCAGCCACTGGGGCGTCCGGTGGAGCTCCCTGTGGGGCCACGAAACGTGTGAGGGGTGCGCGAGAATGGGGGGTGGAACCGCATGCGAGCGCAGCCACTGGGGCGTTCGGTGGAGCTCCCTATGGAGCCACGAAACGTGTGAGGGGTGTGCCGAAATGGGGGGTGGAACCGCATGCGAGCGCAGCCACTGGGGCGTTCGGTGGAGCTCCCTGTGGGGCCACGAAACGTGTGAGGGGTGTGCCGAAAAGAGGGGTGGAACCGCATGCGAGCGCAGACGCTGGGGCCTTCGGTGGAGCTCTCTATGGGGCCACGAAACGAATGAGGTGTCTGCCGAAATGGGGGGGTGGAACCGCATGCGAGCGCAGCCACTGGGGCGTTCGGTGGAGCTCCCTATGGGGCCACGAAACGTGTGAGGGGTGTGCGAGAATGGCGGGTGGAACCGCATGCGAGCGCAGTCACTGGGGCGTTCGGTGGAGCTCCCTATGGAGCCACGAAACGTTTGAGGGGTGTGCCGAAATGTGGGGTGGAACCGCATGCGGCGCAGCCACTGGGGCGTTCGGTGGAGCTCCCTGTGTGGCCACGAAACTGTGAGGGGTGTTCCACGAAAGGGGGGTGGAACCAGCATTGCGAGCGCAGACCTGGGGCCTTCGGTGGAGTCTCTATGGGGGCCACTGCCACGAAACAATGTGAGGGGTGTGCCCGAAATGGGGGGGGTGGAACCCGCATGCGAGCGCAGCCACTGGGGGCTTCGGTTGGCGGCTCCCTATGGGGCCATCGAAACGAGTGGAGAGGGGTTGCGAGCATGGGGGAGTTGTGGGGGGTGGAACCGCATGCGAGCGCAGCCACTGGGGTGTTCGGTGGAGCTCCCTATGTGGCCACGAAACGCATGAGGGGTGTGCCGAAATGGGGGGTGGAACCGCATGCGAGCGCAGCCACTGGGGCGTTCGGTGGAGCTCCCTGTGGAGCCACGAAACGTGTGAGGGGTGTGCCGAAATGGGGGGGGGAACCGCATGCGAGCGCAGCCACTGGGGCCTTCGGTGGAGCTCTCTATGGGGCCACGAAACGTGTGAGGGGTGTGCCGAAATGGGTGCAGGGGACGCATGCTGATGATGATGATGATGATGATGATGATGATGATGATGATGATGATGATGATGATGATGATGATGATGATGATGGTGATGGTGATGGTGATGGTGATGGTGATGGTGATGGTGATGGTGATGGTGATGATGCGGAGGATGATGATGATTATGATGATGATGATTATGATGATGATGCTGATGATGATGAGGAGGATGACAATGATGATGATGGTGGCGATAACGGCGATGATGATGGCGATGATGGTGATGCTTACGATGATGACGATGATGACGACGACGATGATGACGATGACGATGACGACGATGATGGTGATGATGGTGATGCTTACGATGATGACGATGATGACGACGACGATGATGACGATGACGATGACGACGATGATGGTGATGATGATGACGATGATGATGATGACGGGAGGAGGGAGGAGGGGGGAGGAGGAGGAGAGGAGAGGAGAGGAGAGGAGGACGCGGGGCACCGTCTCTTCAAAACGAGGACCCAACACCACAGGATGGTTGGGGAAACGAGAGAGAGAGAGAAAGAGAAAAAGAGAGAGGGAGAACAACAAACAAATCCACCGAGAGGGATCGACACACGACGGGCGAGAGTGAGAGGAGGACGACGATGACGAAGACGAAGGAGGACGAAGGGACGGTGGAGCACGACGGCGGAGCACGGAGAAGAACGGAGGAGGAGGGAGGTGCCCGCGTCCCGTGAGGGGCGCGGCGTCCTGCCGGGGCGCTCTGGGTCGGGAGGGGGGCGACAGCGCGGATATGCCTGGACTCCCGGAGCCGCGGGGAAGAAGCGAGCACTGCCGCTGCTCTCGCGACCTCGGCCGTCCAGGGGGCCGCTCCCGCGGGCCCTCGTCAATGTTTGTTGCTCCCGGCGCCGACCACCAGCAGGATCCTGCCAACCTCGAACACCGCACATCACCGCAGCCATGCCACGCCGCAGCGCGAGACGCAGGAGCGCGCCGCTCGGGCCATGGAGCCGTGGAACAACATACGGGCAGGACATTGTTGTGGATATCGTGTCGCGGCGGCGGGCCCCGGCGCCACGCGGTAACACGCTGTGCCTTGCGAGCGGACAGCGCGTTGCTCCGCTCCGCGGGGCGGGAGCCCGGGAAAAGCTCGAGACGTCGACGACCCTGGACGGGGAAATGGATGGCGTGGCGCGCCGAAGCGCGGTGGGCCAGAACCGGCGGCGCGACACGCCGAGCCAAAGTGCCTGACCGTAAATCCGCGCACGAGCCGAGGGGGGCCCGGGGGAGGGGGAGGAGGAGGGGGAGGAGGAGGAGGAGGAGGAGGAGGAGGAGGAGGAGGAGGAGGAGGAGGAGGAGGAGGAGGATGAGGATGAGGATGAGGATGAGACCAGAGTGTGGGTATGCCCGCATGCGGTTCGTCTGGCCGGCCGGCGGGCGGGGCCAGACTCTGAAGTTGTTGTTAAGCCTGTCCAGGGCGACCCTGTGGCAGGTCTTGTGCATGGAGTATGTGGAAGTAGGTGATCTTGTAGACGAAGCCGTTGGCTTGACCTCTAGGTACAGGTAATAGAGTAACACGAGGTTGCGCATTGCTGTGAACCTGGAGTGTTCGTGCCGTGGATCGTCGTGGTAAGCCTCATCTCCGGCGAGCCCGATACGATGCAGAAGATCACCATGAAGGAATTGTCGAGGGCGAGGCAGCCAGTGAAGGGCATGACGGCATTGCAAGGAGGAGGAGGAGGAGGAGGAGGAGGAGAAGGTTGAGCAGGGCGAGGACGTGGAGGAGGAGGCGGATGAGGATGGACGGTGGGAAGAAGAGGAGGAGGAGGAGGAGGAGGAGGAGGAGGAGGAGGGGAGGAGGGGAGAGGGGGAGGAGGAGGAGGAGGCGAGGATGAGGAGGGAGGAGGGGAGAGGAGGAGGAGGAGGAGAGAGAGGAGGAGGAGGAGGAGAGGGGAGGAGGAGGGAGGATGGGGGGGAGGAGGGGGAGGATGGGGAGAAAGAGGAGGAGGGAAGGAGAGGGAAGGAGGGAAGGAAGGTGAGGAGGTGGAGGAGGAGGAGGAGGAGAAGCCAGGAGGAAAAGGAGGGGAGCGGAGGGAGGAAGGAGGAGGAGGAGGACGAGAAAGAGGAGGATAGGAGGAGGAGGGGAGGGGGAGTCGGAGGAGAGAAAGAGAAGGAGGAGGAGGCACGAGGAGGAGGAAGGAGGAGGAGGCGGAGGAAGGGCGAGGCGAAGTGGAGGAGGAGTAGCAGGAGGAATTATGATGAGGGGATGAGAGGATGATTTATGAGGATGATGTTCGTCGGATTGATTGTGCGTCGGATGGTTGGGAGGAGGGGGAGGAGGAGGAGAAGGATGAGGAAGAAGAGGAACAGGAGGAGGACGAGGAGGAGGAGGTGGTGGTGGAGGGGCAGCACACGCAGGAGTAGCCCTCGACCCTAGGCAACGAGTGACCCCCAGTGCGCGGCGGCCCCGACCGCTGCATCCCTGGGCGGCGGTGGCGGCCCGCGTGCGCGCCCCATGCGAGCCGCGCACCGGAAGCCACTTCGGCGAAGGGGCCGCGTTCCCTTCCGATACCGAATTACCCGAAGACATGGTTGTTTCAATCCGGGATTCTTTCCTGGATTTCGGCCTTCAGGGCCCACTAATCTAGAGGCCTCCTAGATGGGGTCGGAGTAGATGGGGTCGGAGGATCGCGCCGCATCGACGATACATCGGGGATGCATCGGCGATGCATCGGAAATGCATAGGCGACGCCAGAGCGGAGAAAATCGGCTCCACATCCAGCCGCATTGGCGATGCATCGGCGATGCAGCGCGTTCCTTCGACCCCATCTACTCCGACCCCATCTGGGAGGCCTAAATAATTGGGCCACAGGATCACCAAAAACGGATCCGGGGCGCGACACTACGCTGGGGAGAATGGTCGGGAGCTCACTCGCACGCGCAGCCGGAAGAGACAAGCCCCGGGCATGAGAAGGCCCCTCCCTACGCCCACCAGTCATCGATTCTTCAAGAACTGATGGGGGGCGGGGGTAGGGTTCGAATTTCGCCGCGGGTTCGACGAATTCCGAAACCTACCCCCGCCGCCCATCGAGTTGCCCTACCAGGTCCCCACCTCGCCACTCCTGGTCGGGCCGCTCCCAGGCCTGGGAGGCTGGTGCGGGTGCTCCTCCCACGGGCGGAGCCTGGAGGGCGTTTCATCCCCCAAGCACGGGCCCAGGGTTGGCCTGGACAGGCTCGGCGAGTTGGATCGCCTCGTCGTCGTCGTCGTCGTCGTTGCCCATCGTTCGGATTTCGCCGCCAACCTCCGCTCTGCTCTGCCATCGAGGTCGCCTTCAAGACCCTCCCAGAGCGCCGCTCCGGCCAGGGCTTCGGGGCGAGCTTTCGGCGGTGGCGACGGGGGCACCCCGCAAAGCCCAAACAAAGATGCCGACACTGTCGGCGTGTGAAAGGCGCTGTGCGGCCGCTCTCGTTTTTCTCCCCCGCTCTTCAGAGGCCTCTTAGATGGGGTCCGAGTAGATGGGGTCGGAGGATCGCGCCGCATCGCCGATACATCGGCGATGCATCGGCGATGCATCGACGATGCATCGGCGATGCAGCGGCGAGGCATCGTCGAGGTCTGCGGTGCATCAGCGACGCCGACGTGGAGTAAATCGGGCTCCGCATCGAGCCGCATCGGCGATGCATCGGCGATGCGGCGCGATCCTCCAGCCCCATCTACTCCGACCCCATCTAGGAGGCCTAGACTCTTGCACGCCAGCCAATTAGCCTTTCGGTTGCCCCGAATAGCCACACGCTGGAGCGGACTGCCACGGCCTCGCCGCCGACGAAAAAAGTGTGAGACGCTGGTCCATGTGCATTGTCGAAATCGTACTGAAGTCAAAAGGAAACCCATTCCCTTTGATCCATTCCTCGCAAGGTGGGCGGGTCCCGAAGGGGGTCGTGGGTGTCCCGGGTCAAAAAAATGGGGGGGTCCCGGGGGAGGTGGCGAAGGGGGTCCCGGGTCAAAATACCATCCCCCCAGGCATTCCCAGGGCCCAAGACTGCTCAAAAGTGCCCCACGAGGCCCACAAGACGGTCCAAGAGAGCTCCGAATCGCCGAACGACCTCTCCAAGACGCGAATGACGGCCTCCTGACGAACCATGAGGCTGTAAAGACGCTCGCAGAGGCCTCCGAGAGCACACCAGGAAGACCCCAACAAGCAAAATTCAATGATTATTGTCCTTGGTTTGGGATTGCGACGTCCTCGCCTTTTCGGATTCTCGACGCCTCAAGGCAGCCCAAGATGCCCCCAAGATCGCCCCAGGAGGCCCCCTAGAGGCTTCCAACACGGCCCCAAAACGACCGAAGAGGGCCCCAAGACGGCCCTAGAAGCAACTAAGACGGCCAAAGAAGCTCCCAAGACGGCTCCAAGAGGGTGCCCAGACGGGAGACCCGAACGAACGTTTCGAGCCCTCGGCCCCGAGAAGCTCCCAGGAGGCCCCAAGAAGCTCCCAAGAGGCCCCCACGAGGACCAAAGAGGCCCCCACGAGGCCCCAAGAGGCCCCCAAGAGACCCGTAGGAAGCCCCAAGAGGCCCCCAAGAGGCTCCCAGGAGGCCCCCAAAGTGCTCCCAAAAGGCACCAGAACTTCCCACAGAGGCCTCGAGAGCGCTCCGAAGAGACCCCACGAAGCATCCCTGCGAACGCCGCCGCCGCCGCCGCCGCCGCCGCCGCCGCCGCCGCCGCCGCCGCCGCCGTCGTCGTCGTCGTCGTCGTCGTCGTCGTCGTCGTCGTCGTCGTCGTCGTCGTCGTCGTCGTCGTCGTCGTCGTCGTCGTCGTCGTCGTCGTCGTCGTCGTCGTCCCCCTTCAGGGTCGGCGGCACCCGCCGTAAGGCCTTCCCAATCCAGAAACGTTGAACTGAGCTCATATCAAAACCAAGCAGTAGGTGGCATGATACCAATCATGATGCTTACACTACTCATCACTTGGAGTTCTGGGTATTTACGTGGACGACAAGGTGGAGCCTCCTTCATCTCAGCCAGCGGCGCCGCCGCCGGCGCCGTGTACGACGTGCCGCAGATCCTGATGGATAACTATAGGAGGGCTCTGGTACGTGAGTGCTGCTGCTTCTGCGGTGGCGGCCGCGGCCGCTGCTGATGCTCCTTCCCATCCCCTCCTCATCCTCCTCCTCCTCGGCGCTCGTCCTCTTCGTCCTCTTCGTCCTCCCTTCGTCTCTCGTCCTCTCTTCCTCTTCGTCTCCTCGTCTTCTCCTGCTCCTTCTCTTCGTCTCTCGACCTCTTCGTCCTCTCCCACCCTCCACCTGTGCCCTCCCGCTCCTCCCCCCTCTCTGCACTTCCTCGCTTCTCCCCCCCGAGACTCCGGCGCGCAAGTTCAGAACAGCACAGACCGATCAATGCCAATGGCACACCAGCATTACGAACGCGAGCACGAGTGCAAGCGAATATGGCCCTCCATGGCGCAAACATTCGCCGGCCCAGCGGGCCCAGGGGCGCTCGCCAGAGAAGCGCGGCACAAGCTTTGCAAAGGAGCGGCCCAAGAGCGGGACAATCGTACCACTCTGCATTCAGTACACTCCTCGTCCTCTTCCGCCTCCTCCTCCTCCTCCTCCTCCTCTTCCTCCTCTTCCTCCTCCTCCGTCTCCTCCTCCTCCTCCTCGTCCTCGTCCTCCTCCTCATCCTCCTCGTACTCCTCGTCCTCCTCCTCGTCGTCCCCCCTCCTCGTCCTCCTACTCCTCCCTCTTCCTCCTCATCCTCCTTCATCTCGTCCTCGTTCTCGTCCTCGTTCTCGTCCTCGTACTCGTCCTCATCCTGCATCCAACCCCTCATCCGCCTGTCGCCTGCTCGTCCTGCCGCCCTACCCTACCTCCTCGCCGATCCCTCCGTCGCCCTCCCCCTCCTCCTCCTCCTCATCATCCTCCTCCTCGTGAGCCACCTTCTCCTCCTCCTCCTGAGCCTCCTCCTGCTGCGCCTCCTCCTCCTCCTCCTGAGCCTCCTTCTCCTTCTCCTCCACCCCTCCGCTAAGGAGGCAGAAGCGGTAGAGGAGGAGGGCGAAGAGTCTGCCAGGCGAGGCGGCAGGGAGAGGTAATTAGGGCGAGGAGGGAGGACAACAAGGCAGGGCGAGAAGGAAGGACAGGGATGCAGAACCAGGAGTTCTCGTCCTAGCTCACTCCTCCCTCCCTCCCTCTTCGCCGTGCCGCCTCGCCCCCGCCTCCGCTTTCCGGTCGCCCCCCGCTCGCGCGGATAACCAGGGAACAAAAAAACCAGAGCGGGCTGCGGTCATGGGGTAGAAGCCGTCCGGCAGCCCGTGGGGGAAGATATCCGCGATCTGGGCGCCAGCGGTCCGTCGTCGTCGTCGTCGTCGTCGTCGTCGTCGTCGTCGTCGTCGTCGTCGTCGTCGTCGTCGTCGTCGTCGTCGTCGTCGTCGTCGTCGTCGTCGTCGTCTTTCGTAATCGTCGTCGTCGTCGGCGTTCGTCATCGTCGTCGTCGCCGTTCCTAATCATTCGTCGTTGTTCGGGGCTGCTGTCGCCAGTGTTCGCCGCCTGCTGTCAAGCGTCCGCTTTCCGTCGGTCGCGGCCTGGGCGCTCCTCGTCGCCGCCGTGGTCCTTCGTATCGTTCGTGGTCTGCCGCCGTCGAGGCAAGGGGGTGGTGGTGGACACGGGGAGGGGCGGCAGCGGACGGTGCCTTGGACGCATACACAGGGCAGTTTTTAATGCATTGGATTTCTAAAAATATATGATTTTTAGTGCATGCCTAATCTGTGAGTAAATGTATGCATGAACTCGTCGTTGTTTTTAGTACTAAACCCTGCATGTTTAATACATGATCCGCACGCGGAGCATGTATTAAAAACGGCACTGTATATAGAGGCCTTCTAAGCTGGGGTCGGGGGATCGCGCCGCATCGCCGATACGTCGGCGATGCGTCAGCGATGCGACGGTAATGCACTGGCAATGCATCGTCGACGTCGGCGAAACATCGGCCACGCCGACGCGAAGCACATCGGGCCCCACATCGGGCCGCATCGGCGATGCATCGGCGATGCGGCGCGAGCCTCCGACCCCGTCTGCTCCGACCTTTTAACAGGAGGCCTAGTAGGGAACCGAACTCTATACACCTACGCATTTTCTGGCCCTGCACTGAAACTCGCACAGGAAAACGGATCCTAATGTATACGGGATGCTGGTGTATACGTGTTCGTCATTTTCCCAGGCTCATCTACCAATCTCATGTTTAGACGCGTGGCCCCTAAGAAGTGTTTTACCGAAAAGAATACGTTTCTGCGCAGTGCCTGAGATGACTGCTCAGCGCCAGATACGCGCTGTGAAACTTTGGGGCCCACGTCCCCGCGCTCGTCAGGCATGACACCCAGGTGAGGGCATTGCCGCACGGCGTGGATGGCAAAGTTCCCCGCGCGCGGTCCGAGTGCACGTGTATGATGCCTTTCCCTGTTTCCCACAATTCTACGCGCGCCGCGTTTGCTCTCTTGCGGCACAGCTGGAAAAGCAGCTCCCTGACTTGCCCCAGTCGAAATGTAAGCGCAGACCGCGTTCTGCAAGGCTCGAAGAAACCATGGCCGCGACGTCCGCTACCGCGCGGACGAGCCAGCATGGCGGCCCCATGACAGCAAAGGCGCCGTCGTCGAAAAAAACCGCGCCCACTGCTGGTCGCGTGCTCGCTTGCTCGCGTCGCACGTGCTGCGACATGCGAGCTCCTAGTAGGACTGGTACCTGCGTGGGCAGGACCAGGGCTAGCAATGATGTGTTAGCGGGAGCTGCGCATTCCGCAAGACTGCAATCGCAAACCACGCCCCAAAACTGTCGTCCAGGAGCCGCCCCGCACGTCTGCAAGACCAACAGATCAGAACCAGGGTAGGTAAACCATGCGCCGTGGCACGAGGAGGCTGCAGAAGCCCGTGGGCGAGGGCTGACCGAGGCCTGACAGAGAGCCGGGGGGCTCGTCGGGGAGCCTCTCGAGCACTTTTCGGGTCGTTGAAGGGGGGTGGGGGAGGTCAAGGTTTCCGTGTAAGCCCAGCGAAGACCCCCGTAACGAACTGCATGTTGTCGGCGCGCAGCTATATGATAGGCTGGGAGGGAGCTGACGAAGCGAGCGCAGCAGCCAGGCGGCTGCCCAGATGGCAGTTTCAAACTCGGCAACTGCTGAGAAAAGAGACGCGTGATATACACTGTCGGCCGAGCGTAGCTGGCCACCTTGAAAGCACATGAGCCATCTGTGTCCTGGTGACGATGCAATAACGACAGGGGCCCATGCTGGTGGACATTCGTTCCGGGCCCATGATTTGCCCCCACCCGCCCACCCCTGAGCGGTCGGTGTTGATCCCACCCTGGGTTAGATTGTAGGCCTGATCGACCTGAGATAATAGCTGAATTCCAGAAGCCTGCTAACTGTGAGATGTGGGACATCATGGGGAGGCCCCAGTGGGCCAGGAGGAGCTCCTTGGCGGGGCCCAGAGGAGGCATGGGGCCTGAGGCGCGGCCTCGGACGTCCTGCGGGCATAAGGGAGGAGTGGGTCACTGCTCGTCCTTTATTTTTGAATTCCCCGGGACGCGCGCCGAGCTCCCACATCAGCACAAGACGTAGTAGTTTGACAAGACTCGTCATCTGCCGTTGGGCACACCTCGCCCGGGCTGATGGCGTTGGGGTCCATGGGCTCTGTGGTTTCGGACTCCCCGGCGTCGTCGTCGTCATCCACGGTGTCGGACTTCTGGAGCGAGCGCCTGGCCTTCCCGAAGGAAGCTCTGAGAACTTCTCCGCGGTCTCTGCAGCTGTTGGACGGTTTGCGGTCCTTGGCGCCTCCTCCTTTGGCGGTCCTGGCGTTGGCTGGCTGGCGTCCGCTGGCGGCGGCGGCGTCTGCTGCGGCGGTGGCCGCGGGCTCTACTGCGGCGACCGGCGCGGGCCAGGCAGCCGGGCCAGCGGCGGCGGCGGAAGCGGCGCCTCCTGCCGTTGCCGGTGGGGCCTGGGCGCCCGCCATGGGGGCGGCCTGCGGCTGCTCGCCATTGGCTGGCTGCTGGCCGAGGGCGGTCGCCTGTGCCATCTTCGGGCGTTGGCAGAACTGGGTTTAGTGGAACCTGGTTTAGTAATTTGCACCGGGGGCGCCCCCCCGTCCCATTTCCACTAACCGGAACTGCCGTCACCCGAAAAACACATGTTACGGCAAACCTGGTTTAGTGAATCTGGCCAATTGAGGGGCCCCCGGGCCCTACCTACCACTAAGCGGGTCCCCTTACCCGGGGTCTTGGCTATACCCGACATCTGCTGCTGGACGAGGGGCATCTGCTGGGCAAGTCGGGTGACCTGCTGGGCAAGGCTCGCACTGGTGACCTGGATGGCGGCTAGGCAAGCGACCGCCGACTGGTCTGACTTGGGCTCTGTCACGGTTCCTTTTGCTGCGGTCGCCTTGTCTGCTGACTCTGCGGAGCGACCTTCTTGAATATGGACATCCTCATCATCAGGCTCGTCATCGTCATCCCCCTCGATCTCGTCGAAATGGGACAGGAGGTCCTCTGCCTTCTGGGCGTCCTCGACGAGGACATTGGATGTGAGCTACTGCGAGTTGATGCGGTGCGTGCGCATCAGATTCAGCGTTCTGGGTCTCGCTGGGGCGTTTACGAATGCGGCCGACGTATGACGACTGTTGCTGCTGCGTGCTGGTCTTGGGACCTCTCGCGTATATGAACATGAGCAGAGGGTGGTGGCGTCGTCGGCGCCAGCTCCCGGATCCTGGACAAGCCATGGCCCATGTGATACGCAATGCTTGATCAACGCGCCCAGACTGATCTTAAGCCGCTCACGGTGCGGCCTGAGCTCCTCCTGGCTCATGGGGAGACGACGCCATCGACGGTTGTTCTCTGCCTGTTTCGGTGCAAGTGGACGGGACAGAGGCGGAGCCTCCTGTTCTGCTCCTCGACGGTAGCAAGCTGATGATGAGCGGGTTCTCCTGTGGGCGCTGCGCTCTGAACTGGGCCCCCATCTTCTCCTCCATGCTGCCACCAGGGTACGCGTTTCTGTTGCCAGCTTCTTATCCATCTAGGCTTGCCGGTCCGCTGCTGGGTGTGCCACGGAGCAACGGATTCCTCGACGTCGTCTGGCGATGGCGGCGCTCTGGTCTTACTCGTGGAGGGGGCGCAGAATCTGCACGTGCTGCTGGAGTAGATGTCCGTACGACGGGGCGGGGAGGCAGGAAGGAGAGGGAGGGAGAGGGAGGAGGAACGGAGACAACTCAGCCGCAGGGGGGGGGAGCAGGCTGGGGCAGCAAGCCTGCGTCCCAACAACTCGTCGGCGCGCGGGCCACAGCTTAGAGATCCCACCTTCGGCTGAAGGCCCCGGGGTGCATCAGCAGGAATCGCCTCGTCGGCCCCGAGTTGGGTTTGAGTGCTGCGACCACACCAGCGGCGCCACTTCAAGGTCGTCTGCGCGCAATCTCCCCAGCACAAGCTCTTAGAGATCCCCAGGGGTCCCCCGATGCCCGTCGAGGTTCCCAGGCCCGAAGCGGCCCGAACCTCGATCATCGACGCTCGACGACGACGACGACACTCGACGCTCGAAGCTCGACGCTCGACGCTCACAGCTCAGCGCTCGACGCTCGAAACTTGACGACGACGACGACGACGACGACGACGACGACGACGACGACGACGACAACGACGAGGGCGACGGCGACGGCGACGGCGACGGCGACGGCGACGGCGACTGCGACTGCAACGGCGACGGCGACGGCGCCGGCGACAGCGACGGCGGCGGCGGCGGCGGCGGGAGGGCGACGGCGGGACGGCGACGGCGACGGCGACGGCGGGGACGCGCGCCGCGCCTGCTCCGGCGTCATCGGCGTCGCGGTGGCGACGTCCGCGGCCGTCACCTCTCCCGGCGCCGTCGTCGCCGCCGCTGTCGTCGCCGTCCGCGGCCGTCCTGGCGCCCGATGGGGAGCGAAAAGGAGGAGGGCGAGGGGGACAAGCGGGAGGAGGGGGAGGAGCAGGAAGAAATCATGGGAGAGGGAAGGGAGGCGGAGAAGGAGGGAAGAGAAGAAAGAAAGGAGGCAGGAGGAAAAGGCAGGAGGAAGGAGATGGAGAGGTGGAGTGGAGTGGAAGCCGTTGCGGATGCAGTGCCATGATCCCCATTGGGCTAAACCTCACGGCTCGGACGTTTCCCCGATCGTCTCGCAGCCTGTTCTGCTCGACTCAAGACCTTGCGGCGTAAACCTCTACTGATCCTGTCAAGGTACTCTCGTCCAGTCTGGGCAAGGAGGAGGAGAAGGAGGGCAGAGGGGGAGAGGAGATGAAGAGGAGGACCACGCGGAGAGCCTTTCTCCAGAGGGTCGGCCAGCGCGGGGTCGACTGAACAGCCCAAGGAATGGGAGTGAGCAGATGGTGCCAAGAGCGAAGGCATAATCAGGCGGATCGATCGACGATCGAGGATCGAGGATCCAAGAGGATCGAAGAGCGAGGATCGAGGACGCAAAACTGGGGACCATAGGCGGCACGTGCGCGAGGGCGGGGAGCCTCGCCGTTGGACGGGACGCATCTGGCAGCCAGCGCGGGAACTCTGGACACACGGGCTTTCGGTCAGGAGTCCTTGTCCGTGCCATCCCTCCCTCCTCCTCTTTTTCCTCCTTCGCCCTTCCTCCTCCTCCTCCTCCTCTTCCTCCAGCTCCTCCTCCTCCTCCTCCTTCCTCCTCTGCTCCTCTCCTCCCTCCTCCTCCTCCTCCTCCTCCTCCTCCTCCTCCTCCTCCTCCTCCTCCTCTGCTCCTCCTGCTTCCTCCTCTCCTCCTCCTCCTCCTTCCTCCTCCTCCTCCCCTCCTCCTCCTCCTCCTCCTCCTCCCACACTCCTCCTCCTCCTCCTCCTCTTCTCCTCCTCCTCCTCCTCCCCCTCCTCCTCCTCCTCCTCCTCCTCCTCCTCCTCCTCCTCCTCCTCCCCTTCCCCATCGCCCCCCCCTCCTCCACAATTACACAAATGTGAACGCCACTCTCCTCTGTCCCCTGGCGACGTCCGGGAGAGATCCAGCCCCCCATCCGCGCATTGTTTTGTACACACAGGATTCCCGGGAACTGGATTTACGCTTGGGTTTTCGTTTCGAACTGTTGCCCCCGCTGAAGCGCCAGCCTTGAGTGCGTCCTTTGGGGGGGTGCTCTGCTCAGGCTCAAAACTTTAATGAAGGTATGATTCATGTCTGAGCTGGAACTCTGATTCACGTCTGGTCCTCAGCGCGTGGTATGGTTTGGGCCCGCCGAAACCAATGTCGCGGCGTCGGCCCAGATCGCTGCCGGGTCGGCCCCCAACAAATAAGGAATGCGCAAGCCAAGCGGCTGGTCATGGCTGGGGGCCCAGCCGCCAGCTGCCAAATGCTGCGAGCTGGGCCCGCATGCGCACGCCACCCTGCGGCAACGCCAAGGCTAAGGCATGCGCGGGGGGCGCGCGGGGGGCGCGGGGCAGCGCCCCCCGCCTGCGCGGCCCTGCCCAAAACTGCTCAAGGGCAGCTTGGGCGAAAAAAGGCCCACCCGAGGCTCGCCGCCGCGCCGCGGCAGGATGCGCATCGCGGTGGCCGCCCCAATCCCCGCCGCCCGCCCAGAACAGGTCGGGGGCAGCACGCGCAGAGGAGAAGCGCTGTACTTTTCGGAAGGCTCGGGGGCGCGGGAGGTGCCCTGGGAGGTGCCCAAAACGAAGGCGGGGACATGGGGCAAGGGTAGGAACGATCGCGAGAACTAAGGCGGAGGCAAGGGCAAGAAATGCGACGGGCGGGGGGGACGGGCGAGAACGAGGACGAGAACGAGGGAGGTAGAGAGGGCGGGAACGAGGGCGGGAACGAGGGCGAGAACGAGGGCAAGAACGAGGGCGGGAACGATGGCGGGAACGAGGGCGGGAGCGAGGGAGATAAAGAGGGCGGGAACGAGGGTGGGAGCGAGGGCGAGAACGAGGGCAAGAACGAGGGCGGGAACGATGGCGGGAACGAGGGTGGGAGCGAGGGCGGAAACAAGGGCGAGAACAAGGGCGGGAGCGACGGCGGGAACGACGGCGGGAGCGACGGCGGGAGCGACGGCGGGAGCGAAGGCGAAAACGAGGGAGAGAACGAGGGCGAAAACGAGGGCGGGAACGAGGGCGGGAACGAGGGCGAGAACGAGGGCGGGAACGAAGGCGAAAACGAGGGCGAGAACGAGGGCGGGAACGAGAGGGGAACGAGGGCGGGGGGCCGCCTCTAGGCGCCTGCGGGTTCCCTCCGGGCGCCTCGGGAATTCCCTGGGCGCCTCCGGGGAACCTCCGGGGAATCTCCGGGGAACCTCTGGGGAACCGGGGAACCTCCGGGGAACCTCCGGGGAACCTCCGCGGAACCTCCGGGGAACTTCCGGGAGGTCTGTTTGAAGTCTGTTTGAGGTATGTTTGAGGTCTGTTTAAGGTGTGTTTGAGGTGTGTTTGAAGTCTGTTTTTGGCCAAA